GCTGCAATAGCCACCACAGTATAGCTCAGTAAATGCTGCTTTCTAAATATGGACTAATTTACCTTTAGCATGCCTTAAATGTGAAAAGCCACATTTTTATCAGGGGTTAAAGTTTGATAATTCTGTATGTTATTTTGCATGTGAGAATGAGTAGACCAAAAAGGATTGGAGACCTGACCTCTTGTCCCAATGGACCTTTTCTGACTTGAACCATTTATTCTTTTTGTAGCTTCTAAGTGGCATTGGGTTTATAGCTTTTTGCCTAAGAAAAGAATGTTGGATTGTTATCTTCCTAAAATGTAGGAAAGTGTGCATTTAGAAGTTTGTATTTTATCTTTTCAGGGCACTGTTTCTGCTGAAAGTAAGTCAGCAGGATGCTCTGAATGTCTGAGCAAGGACATTGAAGCCAGAGGGGCTAATTAGAGACACCTTTAAAGAATGCTAAAATTCTTGAGTGGGAGCTAGTCAATAAAGGGCCAGTAGAAATAACGTCTCTTTTCAGTGGTGAGACCTGAAAAACAGTTGCTGGTTTTTGGGGGATGCATGGGGAACACTGTGCTGCCCTCATGGTGGGCTCAGTAGTGTGGCCTGTCTCAGTGTCTTAGGACTTGTGGGCCTTAGACTGCTCTCTTGACTGCTCCCCCACCAGCTGAGAGGGCAGTGTCTCCTTGCCCCTCAACCTTAAATTGGGTCTTGAAGTGGGGATCTATTTGTCATCTTTTAAAAAAATAAAATAAAAAAATAAGGAATACATATCCTGTTCTGGCTATAATGTGACTTTGGGGGATGAGAAGGTGTTAAGTAAAGGGTAAAGGCATTTTTTTTTTTTTAATCTAGAAAACTCTAGACGTTGTTCCACAAGAAGAAATAATCAGTACACTGAATTGAAATCTTTTGGAGGGGAACTAGCTCTGTGTTGTAATGTAAATATATATGTTGACCATCTGCCTGAACCTCAAATTGGTTTACACTGCTTGATACATAGCCTTTTGATGGGACAGAACACAGAGGACTGCCTGGGAAAATCCAGACATGCAGGCTATTCTGTATAATAGAAACCTCAAGATCCTTCCTAATGCTGCTCAAAGCTCTCCCTTTTTTAGTGTATTTTTTTCTCAGTTTTTCTTATGAAGAGGAGAAATTTTCAATTATATGATCATTTAACATCTCGGTAATTTTGATAGCCTTCAAACTAGAAGAGGTGCCTTTTAATACACTGGATGGTGTGTGTTAGGTCTGACGGTGTTTAAAGGCATCCAAGGGTTAAGTCTGTGATAGATTGCCAAGATATACAGGTCTGATGAGGAGGATTTCTTGATGGCTATGGGCTGTACTTTCCTAGCACTTGGAAGAAACTCCATCCAGGACATTGTTAGTGAACTCTTGGCTTTGTCTTCTCCCAGAGTTCTGGATTACCACAGATTTCTGCTTTGAGCAGTGATCATTCCCTCACGCTCTATACATACCTGCTGCAATAGCCACCACAGTATAGCTCAGTAAATGCTGCTTTCTAAATATGGACTAATTTACCTTTAGCATGCCTTAAATGTGAAAAGCCACATTTTTATCAGGGGTTAAAGTTTGATAATTCTGTATGTTATTTTGCATGTGAGAATGAGTAGACCAAAAAGGATTGGAGACCTGACCTCTTGTCCCAATGGACCTTTTCTGACTTGAACCATTTATTCTTTTTGTAGCTTCTAAGTGGCATTGGGTTTATAGCTTTTTGCCTAAGAAAAGAATGTTGGATTGTTATCTTCCTAAAATGTAGGAAAGTGTGCATTTAGAAGTTTGTATTTTATCTTTTCAGGGCACTGTTTCTGCTGAAAGTAAGTCAGCAGGATGCTCTGAATGTCTGAGCAAGGACATTGAAGCCAGAGGGGCTAATTAGAGACACCTTTAAAGAATGCTAAAATTCTTGAGTGGGAGCTAGTCAATAAAGGGCCAGTAGAAATAACGTCTCTTTTCAGTGGTGAGACCTGAAAAACAGTTGCTGGTTTTTGGGGGATGCATGGGGAACACTGTGCTGCCCTCATGGTGGGCTCAGTAGTGTGGCCTGTCTCAGTGTCTTAGGACTTGTGGGCCTTAGACTGCTCTCTTGACTGCTCCCCCACCAGCTGAGAGGGCAGTGTCTCCTTGCCCCTCAACCTTAAATTGGGTCTTGACTCTGTTCAGTCTTCATTCATTTAACAAGAGCTTATTAAGCTCCTTTTCTTGGTAAAGTACCTGGTAAAATACTGTGTTTGGTGCTGGTAATAAAAGATCAGCAAGATTTAGCCTGGACTGTAAGATCTGGACCAGCAATTTGGCAACTAACGCAAAGTGCTACCATAAAGATACAGGTTCTGATGTATAGTGACCATTTCCTATGAAAGCTTAGTCTTTCAGGAGATTGAAATGGATTATGAAATGTTCCAACCGGCAAGTAAGCAAGGTGAAATGAGTGGATATATGACCCTGTCTGATTTCACCTGCCGATGTTAGTCCTTTTTCAGTGCTTAAAGCTTGAAATAATCAGCAGTTATTAAACCCTCAATATGTTCCATGTTACTAAGTTCTTTACGTGTATTAATTTACTTAATCTTCACAACTACCCTTTGAATTAGCTACTATTAACCCCATTTTACAGATGAGGAAACTAAAGCACAAAGAAGCTAAGGACTTTTCTGAAGGCACAGAATGGAGGCAGATTTCAAATTTAGGGAAGCTGGTCCAGAGTCCATGCTCTTAAGTGATGTGATGTACTGTCTCTGGATTTGGAAAGGTGCTATCTTGACCAACCTCCTTGATGGGTAGAGCTTGACAGAATGGTGCTCCCCTGATCCTCCCAGCCCTGTAGAGTTTGTCTCTTTTCTGATTGGCCCCTAAGACCCGATTGCCTATCCCTAATACTGAGCAGGAATTGGTGAATGAGACAGAAGATCCTTTCTCTACAGGCTCATATGTGAGTCCAGCTCTGCTCTTTACCACCTGGGTGACCCCGCCTCTCGGAGCATGTTTTCTCATCTGTAAAGTAGAAATAATTTTACTTCATGGGATCATTTAAAGGATTAAATAAAACAATGTACTTAGTGGTTTCTGGCTTTGAGTAAGTGTTTAATAAATTTTAGCAATTTATTATTATTATTATTATTATCATCATTTAACCTTGAGAACAAGCCAGGAAACGTTTTCTCAGAGACCAGATCCTAAGACCTAGGTAGGCAGGCAGTTTTCCTTTGGTTTTCACAAGACAATAATTTTATTCTCTGTATTTCTCATGACTCTCTTGGTGTGAAAAGCAGAGAGGTAAAGCATTATTTGGCAGATGTATGGATTCAATCAAGAAACTGAGGTCCAGGGCCGGCCCGGTGGCGCACTGGATAGTGCGCCGCTTGGGAAGCGCAGCGGCGCTCCCGCCCGAGGGTTCGGATCACACGCACCCAAAAAAAGCTAGTAGGGAAACTTGCCAGAATTTGAACCCAGATCTGCCAAAACTCCAAAGTCAGACCATAATTGTGTCTCCCAGTGTGTAAATATCTATCAAATACTTTGTGCACATGTGTGAACATGCCAAACTTTGAATGATTTAAGTATAACCTGTATTTTAATACTTAGGACAGCATCATAAAATTAATTTCTAAATGAATATTGAAATTTATCCAGTTTCTATGTTTAGCAATTGGTGTTAATTTACCTCTCATAAGTGCTAGAAAGGTTCTACAATACCTCCTCCAGCCCTTTTATACTATTCAAGCTTTTTATTAGCCCTAATGTTGATTGCCTTCCCAGGGCATCTACTAGTTTGAGTATAATTTGTCTAATTAAATTTAAAGAAGAGATGTTTCAGGGAGCACCATTTCATCATTTCCTCTTAAACTCTATGCTGTGGACTTTAATGAGGACCTAAACCCCATCTTAACCCAGCCTTAGTTTCAGCACAGATGAGCTGTGCTTGTTAAGACAGTCTTCAGTTGTCATTGCAAAGAAATGACTTGTATAACTCAGAGCCCTGTCTGAGGAGACACAGAAGACCCTAGAGAGCAGAGAATGAACACAGCGCAGGGGCTAGTCCCAGAGTTGCATCCTCGGTTAGTTCACATACAAGTATGGGCAGTAGGCAGAGATTTTTTTTTTTTTCCCTCTGCTCCAACATATGTCTGCTGGCTAGTGTGTATTAAACAAAACTTATTTTTTCTTAAAGTGAAGTAGAATTTGTGACTTGTCCAAAATGGAGAGGCAAGGGAGCTCTGTAACTACAGGCTTGTTGAGCCTGGGCCTTTTCCCACTTGTTCCTGTGCCAGACTTTCCCCAAAGCGTATTTGCCAGCGGTTGCTCCTCAGATCTCAGGGCTTGGCTCACTCTGTGGGCTCCAAGCCAGAGTGATGCTGCGCCGCCACCACTGCCACCGCCACCACTACCACCAGCCATTCACAGTTTCCTGCTATAAAGGCGTAAACTGCTGTGAAGCTTTTACCTTCCTTGTTTCTTACTGTCTTTGGTGTTGTACTTCTTTCCCCTGGTGCTTTTGCCATGCAGCCAGTGTTCCAAAAAAAAATTCAGGCACCAAAGTTATAGCCCTTGCTACCTCTTCAAAGAAATGTGAGTTAGCCATGGAAAAGAAATAATTGAAGGGCCTCCTATGCCTTTGCTGTAGAAGTAAGAGTTTGCTTCTTGATAATGTGCTAGCTCCCAAGCCAGATAGGGAACTTGCTTGGACTCATAGAGTGTACTACATGACCTCTGGAGGAGTAGACTGGACCTAGCCTACCCAAGGACAGTACCCCAAGCTACAGAAGCCAAGGCTGAAGACCGATTTCACCTTTTCCTAAGCTTAAGCTTGCTCTGCCACACTGCCCCCAGCCTGTGGCTTAAAATAGCTGTTTCTTTTTGCCAATGAATAAGCTCACTCTTTGTAAAATGCTTCAGCTTTTGGGGACTGGAAAGGCTCACTGTGTCTTCCTGTCTCTCTCTGTTTCTCCGAGGGTTGATGTTGATGGCTTCTGTCTTTGTCTTCACAGGGAACTCTAATGATCCATGACAAAGAGGTCACTCTTGAGTATGTACCAAGCCTGGATATTTGGTCCTGCAAACGAGTAAGTACCAAGAATTACTTTCTTTCTTTTTTTTTTCCTTTTTGTCTTTTTTTTGTGACCAGTAACGGGATCGCAACCCTCAGTGTCGCGCCCGTACCACGACCGGCAACGGGATCACAACCCTCGGTGTCGCGCCCGCACTGCACTCAACCAGTGAGCGGACCGGTCTCTATATGGGATCCGAACCCTCGGCGGGAGCGCCGCCGCACTCCCAAGTGCCGCACTCTACCGAGTGCACCACCGGGCCGGCCCAAGAATTACTTTCTTTAGAAGTAAGCATCTATCATTATAGCCCCCAGTGTCTTCCGGAATCCTGCCTGGTAGCTTGCATTGCCAAGGACAAAGCTCTTCTTCCCGTGTTCACTTAAGATGAATTGGAGATCAGGGCAAGGTCATCCATAATTTCTGCTTCCCAGCCGCTGCATGTGGCTATAGAGGATTCTGGATCTATAATTGGAGTCTCTTTCCCAAAGGCTTATTCCATGCTTTCTGTTGATTATGAAAAGAACAATAGTCCCTTGACTTTTAACCTCTTCTCAGTCACAGGGAATTAGTGTTTGGAAAGGTGGATTTGGAGAGGCTGATTCTGTGGGAGTTATATATTTTTTGGATATTCTGGGGTTTCCAGGGGTACAGAACTTCAGGCACCATAGCATTTTACATCTGTTAAACTCTATATACCTTTAGAATGGCATATTTAAAAATTTTAGAGTAAATAATTTATTAGAGGACCAGTTTGATTACAATGAGCATGAGAATATTATTTTAGTTTTCATTGCTACTACTTAGCTTCAAAAATAATTACAAAAAATGTATAAAGTTTCTGAACTATGATTCATTAAAGTATTACAGAATTTGACAATTCAGTAAAAACTTTAACTTGACATTTCTGTTAGTCTCTGTGAAATATAACTTGAATAGCTGTGATCATCATTAGCCAAAGCACTCATATTTTGTCGACATACTGTCTTAAGATATCATTTTAAGAAAACACTTAACGTTTTTTATTATGGTAAAATACAGATAACATTAAATTTACCATTTTAACCATTTTAAAGCATATAATTCATTGGCATTAAGTACCTTCACTGTGTTGTGCAACCATCAACACTAGCTACTTCCAAAACTTTTTTATTTTGGGGGGCTGGCCTGTGGCTCACTTGGGAGTGTGGTGCTGACAACACCAAGTCAAGGGTTAAGATCTCCCTACGGTCATCTTTTGGGGAAAAAAAAAAAAAAACTTTTTTATTTTTTGGTGGCTGGCCAGTACTGGGATTTGAATCCCTGACCTTGGTGTTACAACACTGTTATATCCATTGAGATAACTTGCCAACCCAGTTCCAGAACTTTTTAATCACCCTAAAAGGAATCCCTGTCACTTTCCATTTCCATTTCCCCTAGTCCCTGGCAGCCACTAATCTGCTTTCTGTCTCTATGAATTTGCCTGTTCTGGACATTTCATATGAATGGAATCATAAAATATGTAGCCTTTTTTGTCTACTTTCTTTCACCTAACATGTTTTCAAGGTTCATACATGTTGTAGCATTTATCAGTACTTCATTCCCTTTTATGGCTGAATAATATGTGAATATATACCACATTTTGTTTATCTATTTATCAGTTGATAGACATTTGCGTTGTTTCTACCTCTTGATTATTATGAATAATAGAACATTCATGTACTAGTTTTTGTTTGAACACCTGTTTTCAATTCTTTTGGATATGTACCCAGGAATGGAATTGCTCGGTCATAGGTACTTTATGGTTAACTCTTTGAGGAACCACCAAACTGTTTTCCACAGACTGCAGCTGCACCATTTTATATTCCCACCAGAAATGTATAAAGGTTCCAGTTTCTCCATATCCTCAATAACATTTATTTTTCCATTTTTTTTGGTAATAACCATCCTAGTGAGTATGAAACATTATCTCATCCTGGTTTTTATTTGCATTTCCCTAATGACTAATGACTCTGAGCATCTTTTCATGTGTTTTTTGGCCATTTGTATATCTTTTTTGGAGAAATGTTTAGTCAAGTCTTTGCCCTTTTTTCTTTTTCTTTTTTTTTTTGGCAGCTGACCAGTCTGGGAATCCGAACCCTTGACCATGGTGTTATCAGCACCATGGTCTCCCAAGTGAACTAACTGGCCAGCCCCCCACCTTTGCCCTTTTAAATCAGGTTGCATGTCTTTTTATTGTTGAGTTATAATTGTTCTTTATATATTCTGGATACTAATCCCTTATCAGATGCATGATTTGCAAATATTTTCTCCTGTGTGTTATCTTTCAGTTTCTTGATAGCATCTTTGGTGCATAAAAGTTTTAATTTTGATGAAATCCAGTTTATCTTTTTTCTTTTGTTGCTTGTCTTTTGGTGTCACATCTAAGAAACCACTGCGAAATCCAAGGTCATGAAGATTCACCCCTGTGTTTTCTTCTAATAGTTCATCTCTTTCATTTAGGTCTTTGATCTATTTTGAGTTCATTTTTTTTTATATGGTGTATGGTAAAGGTCCAACTCCATTCTTTGGTATTTGGATATTCAATTTTCCTAGCACCATTTGTTGAAGAAATGATTCTTTCCCCTTGAGTGGTCTTGGCACCCTTATCAGAAATCAATTGATTATAGATCTATACGTTTATTCCTAGATTTTCAATTTTATTTTTTTGTTCCATATGTTTATCCTTATGCCAGTACCATGCTGTTTTGATGACTGTAACTCTGTCGTAAGATTTGAAATTGGGAAGTGTGAGCCCTCCAACTTTGTTCTTCTTTTTCAAGATTGTTTTGGCTATTCAGGGTCCCTTGCAATTCTACATAAATTTTAAGATCAGCTTTTCCATTTTTGCAAAAAAGGCCATTGGGATTTTGATAACATTGAACATTTTCATAGTGATTGCCTCTATGTTGTGGGATTATGGGTGATTCCCCCCTCTGCTCAACATGAAAATACCACAAAATTTTGTGGAAAAATACAATTGAAAGATAATACAAATCTTTCCAGGCCTTTTTTTTTTTCCCCCCCAGTGATGTAAGTTCAGGGGCTTTGTGGTTGGGCATTGTACTTGACTTTTTGTCACAGGTTCAGACAAAAAGAAAACGTTCACATTGTAAAGTGTCTCTTCTCTTGTTCTGGGCTACTGCATCCCTTTCCTTTTAACATCCTTCAGATAGCTGCCAGAGCTACTACCTGTCTGTCTTCCTTCTCCTTCCTTGTTCCTCATTATTAGTGTTTGAGAAAGGAGTTGAAAATTGAATTCTTCTCAATTTCAGCTAAGTGTGAATGGGGGTCTCATAACAGTCCAGGACCAAGTTTTGGGTGTAGACTGTAAATGGCAGTGGCTTTGTCAGCTATATGGGATCCGAACCCGTGGCCTTGGTGTTTTCAGCACCACACTCTCCCAAGTGAGCCACAGGCTGGCCCCCTAAATGGCAGTGGCTTTGGAGCAATAGTATCCTATCAGTCATTTAACAGTTAAGTTTTCTAAGTTGTTTATTTCCTATAGAAATCCTTGTCCAGGGCAAAGGCATTTTGGGCTGTTCCAAAGTCCAGATGCCCTGTTAGAACATTGCTGTCAGGGCCGAGCCCGTGGCGCACTCGGGAGAGTGTGGCGCTGGGAGCGCAGCAGCGTTCCTGCCGCAGGTTCGGCTCCTATATAGGGATGGCCGCCGGTGCACTCACTGGCTGAGCGCAGTGTGGCTGGTCTCAAAAAAAAAAAAGAACATTGCTGTCAAACAGCAGCTCATCAGATCCTGTCTGCCAAGGGCCAGCCCGTGGCTCACTTGGGAGAGTTTGGTGCTGATAACACCAAGGCCATGGGTTTGGATCCCTATATAGGGATGGCTGGTTAGCTCACTTGGGAGAGCGGGGTGCTGACAACACCAAAACAAGGGTTAAGATCCCCTTACCAGCTTTAAAAAAAAAAAAAAAAAGAACATTGCTGTCAAACTGCAGCTCATCAGATCCTGTCTGCCAAGGGCCAGCCCGTGGCTCACTTGGGAGAGTTTGGTGCTGATAACACCAAGGCCATGGGTTTGGATCCCTATATAGGGATGGCTGGTTAGCTCACTTGGGAGAGCGGGGTGCTGACAACACCAAAACAAGGGTTAAGATCCCCTTACCAGCTTTAAAAAAAAAAAAAAAAAGATCCTGTCTTCCAACACTGATGAGTGAGAGGACATCAGATTCTTTAGGCTTTGAGGGAATTTGATATATGGCTTGTCTCTTTCATTTTTGGCAGGTGTTACTGTGTTGGATATATATAAGGATTTTAAAAACCCATGAAATTGAATTCTTTCCTTTTTCCTTTTCCTTGCAGTGTAAGGCCAACACAGGTGGGCACCGACCTTCATGTTCATTCTGCAAATGCCCAAGGGAAGGTAATGTTGGAAGTGGTGGTAGTACTTTATCTTGTGTACTGAGCAAAACGAATTTCATGCTTTCTTTGACTTTAATAAATTGTCATCCCTAAATACAAGATGATCTGTAAAGCTTTTAAAAGTGCAGTTTGATGTCTTAACTTCATGTGACCTGTTAGTAAACAGTCTTGGATCTCAGATTTTTACCACAGGAAAGAGATGGGGTTGCAGGCTCCTCAGGCTGAAGTGGCTAAGTGGGCAGGTCACTAGAGACCAGTAGTATTGTTATTGAGAATGTGTTTAAACATGGTGCTGATAACACCAAAGTCATGGGTTCAGATCTCCACACCGGCTAGCCATCAAAAAAATAAATAAATAAAATAAAGTAGAATATGTTTAATGACATTAGGTTGAGAGAGTGTGTAAGGCATCAGTCTGTGTGACAATCCCCCCCTCCGCCACACACATACACTTCTTTGAAGTTATTGGGAATCATTCACTATATTGTTTTCTCATTTACACTCTTTGTAAGTATTTCAGGATCTTCAACAGAAAAACATTTGTTAAAAAGTAGTAAAAAGTTTAAACAAGAAAAAATAATCAGCATTGGGGAATACATTGTTATTATTATAGAAGAACAAACCTACCAGCTTCTCAAGTACTTAACTTTAAAGTAAATTTCTTCAGAGAACCTTTAGGTAGAAAACCTTGAAGAGTCTGTCAAAGGCATCTGTAACAACAGTCCTGTAGCAGTGATTATTATATGCCTGTTTCTGATATTATCCCTTTAAGGAAAGCCAGGACATGACCATAAAATACAGCTCAGTGCAGGGGTTTAGGTAGCCTTCTGAAGGACCTGTTTGTGCTAAGGTTAGAATTTAGTATACCAACAAAGATTTTCATCACTGGGCTTTTGGCCTGTACTGGAGATTGTCCTCTCTAGTGAGGACTGAAAATCAGGTGTTCTGAAAATCTTAGAGGGAATGCTCTGAATGCTGTAGAGACCAAACCAATACATATTGGGGAGAAAACAACTGAGATTTTTAGCATGTTGATTGGGCGATTTTGTGCTTTTTCCCTCAAGAATTATTCCTCAAGATATTCTAACAAATGAATAGTTAGTTTATGGGGGGGGGGGAACCTTAGGCACCATGTCACTAAGATGGCTGAGACAACTTTAGCCAGGAAGCATATACAGCAGATATTCACTAGTCACCTGTCACTTCTATTAAGTAATCTCTGTATTGCTCCCATAGAATTTCTCTTTTTGAGCCACATGGCTTCTAGTGAACCCAATTAATTAATTTCAAAAATATGCCCCTAATTAACTAGACAAATTATCCTGCTATAGAAAGAGATTTGAAATTAATCATTTATTGTTTGAAGAACACTTGCCCATTATCATTATTTGCTGTAAATGAGCCTTGTGCAGGTAGGTCTATTCCTAGCCTTCCCAGAGAAGAGAGGCCTGTGGTCTTACAGAATTTGAGATAGCTATTTTAATATTATAACGCTGGAAGAAGCAAGGCTCCTAGACATATGTTTGGGACACATGTTTCTACCAAACCTCTAACAAGAGCCATATATTTGCTAATTTTGTTCCCAAATCTATTCTTATCATTGGTTATAATAGTCAAGTCCAGGGTGTCATGAAGGATTTGCTGTATTTAAATGTTTGTTACATGACAGAAAGCTATAAGATTAAAAATTTTAAATGCTTGGATAGTTTCTTCTGTGAACTATTTAATGTGCTGTCTCATTAGTCTTGCTTAAAGTCTTTTGCCAGGAACTGTCAGAGGACTTTTTGTAGGTATTTCTTACACAATATGTACATGACAGAAAGCTATAAGATTAAAAATTTTAAATGCTTGGATAGTTTCTTCTGTGAACTATTTAATGTGCTGTCTCATTATTCTGCTTAAAGTCTTTTGCCAGGAACTGTCAGAGGACTTTTTGTAGGTATTTCTTACACAATATTAAAAACATTCATTCTAGTATGAGTATTTGGTGGCAAATAAGGAAGAATCACTTTAGCAGTGTTTTTGATAAAGCTTTCTAGGGATTCTCTGTTTCTGTTCCCTTAGTGACAGAGGCCAAGCAAGAATTAATAACCTACCCTCAGCCTCAGAAAATATCCATACTGGCACCATCAGAAAAACAACCCAACCAGCCCCCAAGGCCAGGTGATAAGGAACCTGAGCCCAGGAAGCGTGAAGAAGGACAAGAACCACGCTTGGGACATCAAAAGAGAGAATCAGAAAGGTACCTGCCTTCTTCTCGAAGGGAAGGACTCACTTTTCGAAGAGATCGAGAGAAGGAGCCATGGTCTGGAGAGACACGCCAAGATGGGGAGAGCAAAAGTAAGTGGTTTGTCAGGTTATACAACAGACTGTGCCCACCACAGATGAGCATAGGTGTCCCATGCTGTGGCTAAGAGGCAGCTGTTTCCCCATAACCTAGTAGAACTGTACACAGCCTGATTACAGAGGCCATTGCTTCCTGTGGGCCTTGATGTACTAGTTAAAGGAATCTACATCATCCATATAATGAATTGTTATACAAATGCAGTAAGGCATGATTTTAGATTTCTAAGTATTGGTGAAGAAAATTATGAAGTATTTGTCTAGCGTTTCTTTATAGAACCAGTCTGCTAGAGCAGAGTAGCATCTGCAATAAAAATGACAGTCAGGCTCTTGGGAATTCAAAAATTCATTTTTCTCTCTTTCCTTGCACCTCTCCCATTTGTGCTTGGTTCATTCAGCAATCATGCTGAAACGCATCTATCGTTCCACTCCCCCTGAGGTGATCGTGGAAGTGCTGGAGCCCTATGTCCACCTTACTACTGCCAACGTCCGTATCATCAAGAACAGAACTGGCCCTATGGGCCACACCTATGGCTTTATTGACCTCGACTCCCATGCAGTGAGTTTCCCCCACCTTGGAATGGGCTAGGGACTCATGTCTAAAGAACCTTCAAGAAGGTTTGAGGGACTTGTTTATCATTTGAATATTCATGTACTACCTGGTATCATAACCCATCTTGTTCACTCCTTTGGGTTTAATATTCATTCAGGTGAACTGACTGCCCTTGAAAGTTAGAACTGGGAGGTTTTCCAGATCCATTTTTGTCTTGTGGCATTTATAATTTCCAACTTACACACTTGAGAAGAATCTGAATATTGAAACCTTTAGATTTTAGTGAATTTTCTAATTTCTTAGACTTGTTTTGCCCAACCACAGATGGTTTCATATTTGATGATTACAGGACAATTCCCTCTTATTCCTCAAAGTATTTAATAGATTCTTATGGCTTAAATTTTGTCTTGGCCCTTTTCTATGGAAATAACAGATGGTTTCATATTTGATGATTACAGGACAATTCCCTCTTATTCTTCAAAGTATTTAATAGATTCTTATGGCTTAAATTTTGTCTTGGCCCTTTTCTATGGAAATAATCTGAAGATAGTAATGACAATCATTGGTATGAAATTTCATGCCCAAAAATACATGGGACTTGGTAAACTGTGTCTGTTGTGATGACAGTTCAGCCTAAAAGAAGAGTATTTGAATTTCTGAAATTTATACTGGAAACTGATGGACTTATCACTGTGCTGATTAGTCTTTCATTAAGAACTGCCAGTTTTTACCAGTGTGCTCTTACTGTTAAAATTATGACTAGAATATAATGTTTAGTAAATTTCTTTTTAGAATAAAAATCCATGATCAGTTCTCTTTCAAAGGACATGAACTTTTCTCTCTTTGGGTTCAAATGTGTCTTTGGTTTCCTAGGAAGCTCTTCGTGTAGTGAAGATCTTGCAGAACCTTGATCCACCATTTAGCATTGAGGGGAAGATGGTAGCTGTAAACCTGGCCACTGGAAAACGAAGGTAAGACACAGGGGTGAGTATCCCTGTCCTGCCCCACTTAAGTTTTTGGGAGGAAACTATTCTTTCTGGCAGGAGAGACAGATAGTAAGGCACAATGTCTTCCTGGCATGAGCTGCTTCCAATACGTGCTTATACGGTTTCTTTTTTTGAAGCCTGCCTTGTTCCAACTGTAGAATAGTTTTCTTTCTTAAATAGTAGTACTAGGTACTTTAGTCATTTCTCTTTTGATGGCCTGATATCTTTGGTTCCAAAAATGATGGTACAGTTTGGATATGCAGAAAAATCTCAATGCTTCCCTGCCCCTTGAAGTCCAAAGAAAATGTTGTCCTGACTTCCCACTAGCACTGGGAAATTTAATTCCTCTATTTCTTCACTCATCTTGACCCAGGAGTGGTAACTGGGAAGCAGCTGAATCAAAGAGACAGGCTTATGGAGATGGAGCAGATCTTTCTCTAGCACCCCCTACTCAATCACTGCTTTACTGCAGCAGATGACTTTGTAGGAGTCCTACAGCTCCTCCCCTTCAGGAGTTTCTGGACCACCCAGCCTGCCTGCTGCCTGGGTTGATTCCTTCCCCTGCAAAATGGGGAAGAGAGAGTTTTGCAGTGACTCTGTAGGATTAGGCACTCCTTAAGTGCCATTTGGTAGCAAGCTCATGACGTGTTGTGTTGTTTGTTGCAGAAATGATTCTGGGGACCACTCTGACCATATGCATTACTATCAGGTAGGCTTTAACAGGTGGAAGTGCTCTGTTAAAATCTTCAGATGACTGAAAGGGTGATCTTGAATTTTTTCCAGTGGGTGACCATTAAGATTAAATGGCTGTTGGATAGTTCTATGATTTTAACTTGCCTTTCCATTATAGGGTAAAAAATATTTCCGAGATAGGAGGGGAGGTAGCAGAAATTCCGACTGGTCTTCAGATACAAATCGACAAGGACAACAGTGTAAGTGAGCTTTTTAAATTTCTATTCTTTTTTGTTTGACTTGCTACTTATTACTTGAAATCTATGTGGTCGCAAAGTTGGTAACAGATACTGTTGACTGGGGTCAACATCCAGAAAGAGCACCATCTACATGTTCTGCACCTCTTTGGGTTGGCCACCCCAATTCTTGAGTTGTTCTTGTTGAGTTTCCAGTAAGGGCTTCATTGGACAGGGATTAAAATTGGCTCTGGTTTTATCCCCTCTAGCATCATCTGACTGCTACATATATGATTCCGCTACTGGCTACTATTATGACCCCTTGGCGGGAACTTATTATGACCCCAATACCCAGGTGAGTTTTTGGGTCTGTTTACTCTGTCAGTGGTCCTTTTGAGAAAAGTACCCATAATTTATTACTTTGAGCATTTTATTCCCTGGATTCTCTGGATTTTCATTGCATGAAAAGTGGAAAGGTTTAAATCAATGGAAAATGAGCTATTGTCTATATAGAAAGTCAGTGCCTTGTGGCATTACAGGTAAGAATAGTGCTCCTCTTGGTAAAATGGACAGTGGGTGGTTTGGATGTGTCCTAGCCCCTGCATTGACTCAGGTTTGTGAGTAAAAGAGCTGTTATTTCCTCTGGAAGGGGAATTGTGCTCCTTAGAACTGAAATTGCTGAGAAAGTGAAACATTCTTTAGTCTTAACTGTTTTCAACTGTATCACAGCAAGAAGTCTATGTGCCCCAGGACCCTGGGTCACCTAAGGAAGAAGAGAGCAAGGAAAAGAAACCCACCAGTCAAGGAAAGTCAAGTAGCAAGAAGGAACTATCTAAAAAAGATGGCAAGGAGAAAAAAGACAGAGTAACAAGGGTAAGAGGACTTGTGAGTCTGCTGACTTTTACCACATAGTTACAGATTAAAATACAGGAGTCATAGACATAGGAGATCCAGGTTTAAGGTGTAAAGTTACTTTAAAAATACTCTAATTACCTGGTGTAGGCAGTCCCCTTGCCTCTTACAGCCCCATGGTAACTCTCCCTTTTACAAGTGGGAAACTAAGGATGGCAGAACAAAGTGACTCAGCTCAAATCTGAACGCCTCGGCTCCACACATTTTCACTTTTCTGCATTCCATTTTTAGTGCTTGGCTCTGTATACACATTTCTCTGGGTGTAATTGTAGCAGGGGAAACATTTTGTATTCTTTATTCACTTTCTGTTTTATCATAAGTATTTTTTCCATGTTTCTATAATTCTTTTTTATCATTTTTAGTGCCCTCATGGTAAAAATATACAAACTGTAGCCTTGTTTTTCTTCATCATTCCTGCATTGTCTCTTCTTTCTAATTTTATGCTGTCATAATATGAAGTATTTAGCATTTTATTTGTTTCTCCTTTTAAATTACTTCCTTAAGATACATTTTTAGAATTAAAGATTAACATTTTACATCTGATATAAAATCAAATTATCATCATCATCATCATCATCATC